TGCTGCCTCAGCTCCAGCCCGGGCACGGGGTTATCTCCAACCAGCCTTCCAACAAAGAGAGAGGCTTGTTGGAATACCCAGCGTTAAACAGGTCACTGCACAGAAAAAAAAAAACATCTCAAGCTGGATGACCGGACGAGGGCTTGAACAAACACTGCCCTGAAACGAGGGCTGGCAGCGGCGCCTGTCGCTTTGTTCACAGATCCTCCTCTCTGGGCTGTGTTTGGGCACAGTTCTGTCCTGCAGGCTCTGTGAAACCTCCAGCTAACATCCATCACCTCCCATCTCCAGATGAGGTTTGCCCTTCAATTCATCTTTAGTCAGAAGCAGTTAAACTGGACAGTGAAGTGACATCATTTTAAGGAATCCAAACAGCCAAACCCCTTATTCCTCTCTGTCCTATCTTCCAGGTTTTCGGGTGATGTGCCATTTATTGCCCTAAGCTGCAGCTCCTCTACAGAGAGCACACATGCACCGTGGCCAGCAGGTGTGCAAGTTAAAGCAGAATTCAGCACAGAGCTAGTCTAGAGGGTGTAAAGGGAGATTTTTTACCAACCCTGCCCTGTACAGCTCAGCAGGAGCTGGGGGAGGTGCAGGGGGAGAGCAAAGCACAGCCAGCAGAGAGCACCCTGTCCCCTGCCCAGCTGATCTGGGCTGACCCTGGATCAGCCACAGCAGGTGAACCCCTGTGCTGGGTGGGACCCTCACCAAGAAAGGCTGAAGAGACCTGGGTCAGGCTTGATCTGCACCACTTACTAACACCATGACCTACATCTCCCCTTCACTGAGAAGCTTCTTACCAACACCAGTCCTCTAACTTGCCATACAGTTTCCTACCTGAATTCAGCAAGCTCTGGAAGAGGTTCTGCTGTCAGACCTCCACGCAGTGTCTTTCACTTCACCTCAACTAGCAGATCCATTCCCCAAGCTCAAGAGTGGGAGACTTAAAACTTGTACTCACCAGGACAGCTTCCCCAGGGGAAAGGCAGGGGGGCTACCAGCTTTCTCAGGGGCTTTTATTGCCTCATTAAGTTCTCCTTAACGAGAAGGTGCTCAGCTGCTGCAGTCTCCCTCCCATTCATTTGCACCCATCATGCTGCTGATCCTTTCAAGGCTGCCTTAGTTCCCCCTTTCCTCTTGACTATTCTGAGCCCAGTTTCTATTTCCATGGTCCCAAGTTGAAAATACCTTCTGCTCCTGAGCCACCCGCTTGCCATGTCCTCCTTGGCTGTTTCCTCCCTGGTGTCTCTGCAGCTTCTCCCAGCTCCAGAGTCACCTGCTGCAGTCTTTCCTCCTAAGCAAGGCAGTGACAGCTCTTTTTGAGATCCTTGCCTTAGATCCTTGCTAGGACAGCATAGATCTGCTGGGCACAGCAGTTGGGCCCTTCCAGTTTTCTTTCCAGCATGCAGAGGTCCATCAATCCCTCACCCAAACTGGCCCATGACATAAATTCTTCCCATTAAGTAGCTGATGAAGCATCACCATCCCTTGCTGCCTTCCTTGGAGAGCAGCTCTGGCCCACAGCTCCATCCAGCACCATTTCTGCACTCAGGAGGCACAGCCTGTGACAAAACCTGTAGCCAAAAATCACCTGCCAAGTCTTTCCGACCTCTTCACCACAATGCTTTGGTGATTCCATATTTACCTTGCCCAACACTAAAGTATTAATGCCCTCATCAGGCTGCTCACCCTGCTCTACTAATTCACACCAAACACTCTGACTGTCAAAACTTGCTTATTCTCTCAGCTAAGGCATGAGAATAATGCCCCCCATGCACAGCCCAAACCCCACATGCCCCAAGGGCTCTGCCTGATGCCCACAGACCCCGGAGGCTCTGCCCACCCCATCCCAATGTTTGTATGAGTGGTGCTGATGGATCAGCCCCTCCGTGGGACCAATGAGGGGCCTCAGGCCAGCGGGGCGGCAGGTTCAGCACCTTTCTCAACGACTGCAAATACTGGGAGGTTCAGACTGTTCCACCCCCCTGATCACATCTGAAAGAGCCTTGGGAGCAAAGCTGCGTCACAGCGGGTCTTTGGCAACTGCCAAAAGAGGTTGTTCAACCCCTTTGGATTGTTTGCGTGCCTTTGGAAAAGAAAAAAATCCCTTTTTATTTTTCATTCAGGCTTTTCAGACAAGCACAAGGATTGGAGAGAAGGATCAGCCTGCCTCCTGGTCCAGAATGAGGGCCTGTCACAGTCAGCACTGTCATCTTGAGGTAGTCTAGACATGAGGGAGCTCAGCAGAAGGGGAGATTTCTCTTGGAGGCAGTTCCTTGGTAGCCTGACCCTGTATTGATGTCAGCACAATTCCTCCTTGCACAAAGGGATCAGGCCTGGGCTGACAGACCCGACTCTCTCTCCACACATCCTGTAACACAGCAATGGCCTCTAAATGGCCTTCATTAAACATTCACTTCCCCCTTTTTTCTCTCAATAGCATTTTAGAAACATTCTCGGGAGTGTCTCTAAAAGCTCCCTCAGCCCCTTCCCCATCACACAGAGAGATGTTCAGCTTTGGAAAGACTTACAATCTTTTTTTTTTCTTTGCTTAGGTGTAATAATGTGCTGCCTAGAGCAGAAGCAGCTTCTGGGAGGGATTTGTCCCATCTGAGCTTCTGTCTTGGGTGTGGAGTCGATGGGGGTTGGCTGATGGAACAGAGCTGGGCTTGGCTGAGAGGCCACGGAGGAGATGGTGCCTCGTAGGCTCATTACCTGCTGGCAATCCAGTGCTAATTCCTTACATCTCCCAGACACGCTGCTTCATTGCAATCATTCTGTCCCATGGGAATCCCATACCCACTTTGGATGTCCAAATGACCCAGAAAATTGCTTTCTTTCCTTCCACAAACACAGGTCAATACTTCAAGTCCTGATCTTTCAGGGTGAGGCGAGAGGCACGACAGGACTGCGAGGCCTCGGTCCAACACTCGCAGAGATCCTTGTCACAAGGAATTACGTGGGCTCTGCAAACAGATAAGGGAAAGCAGAAAGAGCAAACGTGGCTCTGCCCAGCCTTGACACGGAGATCAATGCTGTGTTTTACCACCCCCTGCAAGCAAACAGCCGTGGAGCTACGTGCTGCAGGGCAAACACTGCAGCTCTGTCTGGGTGACAGGCAGCAATCTGTGGCAAAGGGTAAATCCCTCTGTTCGCTGGGGCTTGACATATGGAGGGGCTTGTGTGTTCCCTCTTCTTGGCAGGTTTATGGGTGAATTCAAGGTTAAGTATGTGTGTGTCTGTAGGATCACAACCTTCATTTAATATTGCGTGGCCCAGCAGACCCATAATTAATCCTTAACACATTCAAGTGACAGCTCTTGCTCAGCCCTGTCATCTGCACAGGACAGCAAGGTACACGTGAATTCCTGCGTTGGGGCTGGGAGTCAGAGATTTTCCAGCCATTGGAGCAGTGAGGCCAGTTTCTGGCAGGAGGAATGGGATAAATGCTGGCCTGGGCTCTTTTACATGCAGATGGGGCAGGCCAGGAGAGGGAGATGTGAGACAGCCACCTGCTCATTCAGCTGCCCAGGATGGGCTGGGATCCACAGCTCCTCAATGCTGCTGCTCCCTCATTTCCTACCATGAAAATCTGACTTTCAGAGGCTGATCAAGCCTGGGAAGAACCCCCCAGCATCTTCACCCTGAGCAGTTTGCAAGCGTGAAACTTGGCCAGACCCAACTCAACTCTACTTGCTCCTCTTTCTTCTCCAAACCACTGGTTTACAAATGTTCCAAAAGGTCTGAAACCCATCAATAAGCCTGAACCAGATCCAGCGTGCCCCAGGCAAGTCCTCACACCCAGGTCGGGTCCTGACTCCCTCACTCATGAGAGCTGCTGCTCATGCCAGTGGTTGGTTTCCAAATTCTGGGTATTTAATCTTCTTATCTAGTTGCTCTGTTACCAAAGATGAGCACGCTCGGCCACGCTGGATCAACAAGTGTTTTATCACATGGGCAACACAACAGGCTGGGCATGTTTTATATAAGTTTATTGGGATTTAATATCCTTTCACCAACAGTACAAAATACCAGACCTCTGCTATTTAAGGGCTGCAAGAATGTCAAACACGAGCACAGACAAGCACTGCTCAGACAGTTATGCTGTACATCAAACCTGAGTAACAGGAGCACATCCAATCATTTTGGTTATTCTGCCACACATCCCAGAAGAAAAAAGACAAGTGTCTTACCAACTACTGCAGACCCTACATGTTTCATTTCACCTATTTATTTAAAAGATGCATGTGCACGAGAGCCTCTGGATGGATCCCACTGCACGTTCAAGCTGCTTTTTTACAAACTATTTCCTCCTTCAGCTTTAGCAGCCCACGCACCCGATGGGGATGATACATGGGAAAGGATTGTTGTATTTGCTTGATGGATTTAATTACAAGTGACTTATGGGATAGCTCTCCCCTCTCTCATTTTCTCCTCTGGACAGCCAAAATGCCAGTGCAGTCACACCCCTCAGGTGCACAGCCATACACCTCCTTGGTCACCTTGGGCTGGGTGGTAGCACGGAGAGCACCCAGGAGTTCCCTCCTTGGGAGCCCCAGGGGGAGAGGAGAGTAGAGAGCTCTGCCAGCAGTGAATTGTACAAAGGGTTGCCTGTTAAAATCTGGAAGCTGTAACAGATCAGCAGTGCTGAGGGCACCCAAGGCTGACGACTGGCAGCCATCAGCCAGGCTGTGGTTGCCCTCTCAGCACAGCCAGCCAGGGAGACACTTTGCTGGGTGTGAAGGACCACAGGGGATGGGAAAGGCAGAGGGAGGCAAGGAAGTGGCACAAGGACCAAAACCTACCTTGACATTGCTGCCCTAATGACTGCTTAATTTCCATAATATATGAAGCCATATCAGGTTTGAGATCCCTCCAGAACACAGTCACAGTTCGTTAGCAGGCACAGCCCTTTGCAGCCCCCAGTCCTGCGACTGCAGCTCTGAAATGAGGGGGGAGATGGCAGAGGAAAGAACAACCCCCTGCAGAGCAGCCCCTGCTCACAGCCTCGGGACCTCTGCCTCTGAAGCAGACCTGGACTTGCGCCTGCTGGTCAGGCTGCCCAGCAGAGATTCCTCACTGAAGGCCCCTTCGAAGGTCGACAGGATGGACTGGCGAAACTTCTCCTTGAAATCCGGCCCCGCGAAGACATACAGGATGGGGTTGATGCAGCTGTTGAAGAAAGCAAGGCTGGAAACCAAGGGGATCCCGATGTAAAGAGCCAGTTTCATCTCATGACTGGAAGAGTTTTTGGATATTTCCAGCAAGGAGAAGACATGGTAGGGAAAATAGCAGAGGAAAAAGGAGACGGTGACGGCGATGATGATTCTGTACGGCTTGGCCGAGCTGGCTAACTGCCTCCTTTTCAGCTTGAAGGCAACGATGCTGTAGCAGATGAGAATCACCGTGAAGGGGACGAGGAACCCGCACAGGAACCGCGTTAGGATCATGGCTTTGTGCCTCACCCTCCACAGCCTCCGCGTGGCCTCCGACGCGTAGTCGTCGGACAGGGCGAAATTGTTATAGCAGGTGGTGACGTTCCTGGAACTGACCACGGTGTCCCGAAACACCAGGTAGGGGGAGCTGAGGAGGAGAGCCAGGACCCACGTCCCCAGGGCGATCCTGGCCGCCAGCTGCGGGCTCCGGCGGTTGTGAGACCAGACGGGAAAGGCCACGGAGACGCAGCGGTCCACGCTGATGACCGTCAGGAGGAAGACGCTGGCGAACATGTTGAGGAAGGCGATGGTGCTGTTCAGCTTGCACAGCAGCTTCCCGAACGGCCAGTGGAAGCCCAGGGCGGTGTAGGCGATGCTGAGGGGCAGGAAGAAGGTGAAGATGAAGTCGGCGACGGCCAGGTTGAGGAACCAGACGGAGTTCACCGTCTTCTTCATCTTGAAGCCCGCGATCCAGATGACGAGGCCGTTGCCCGTCACCCCCAGCAGGCAGGCGACGCCGTACACCACCATGGAGAGGACGTGCATGCTCTTCTGGAGGCCCGAGTAGGGGTCGTGGGCGGTGGTGTTCTCAGGCTGCGTGGTGTAGGAGAAGGGTGAGGGGGAAGCAGAGACGCTCTCCATCGCCAGCACACCAGAGCCCTGCAATCACAAGCCACGCCGCTATCACTGCAGCTCAGGCAGCTCGGGGAGGTGAGAATCTTTGCTAGCAGCTGCACACAAAATGTGCATGCAAAGCCAGAGTATAGAACTTAATCTATAATTAAAATAAGGCTTTTCTCCATAGCTTCTTCAAGGCTTCACAACAGACAGGTATTTGAGAGGCACACGGAATTTAAGCCAGCTAAGCAAGATCCCAGTGAACCAAGGCACAGGAAGGGGGATCATCTGAGAATGTTGATCTGATCCTGAACACGTCCCAGAAGGGATGGTACCAACAGGTAAGGGAGACATTTGAGCAGAAGCTCAACCACCACACGGACAACTCGGAGTCCCACTGCTACCAACAGAAACCCGGGGATCCATCAAGACAAAACCAATCATGCATCCCGTGGGAAGTCCCTGGATCCCCGCCAAGCTCATCACCTGCACTGACCATCATCAAGCCACTGTCACTGAGAGACATTTTAAGCCAGGAAATAAATTATAATAATAATCAAGACTTTTTGCTTGCAGCTCCTGTGATCACCGCAGCCTGGACACCACAGGGTGGGGAGCTGGTGCCACCCACCCTGGTGTTCCCAGTGCAGCAGTGACCTGTGAGCATCCTCATGACCCTGCTGCTGCTCTGTGTGGCACAGAACCCACCACCCCCAGGGAAACCCACCCAGGCTTTGCCACTGCTGCTGCTGCTGTCAGAACACCTCCCTCAGCAGCCCACAGCAGCAATCCGACACGGACCAGCAGCAGAACCGTAGAATCCCAAACCCCTCAGCTGTGACAAGGCCCCTCCGGATGAACAAATTAAGATGCAAACCCCATCAGGATTGATAAAGATTAAGTTAAAAGACTGTTCCTCCCACAGGTACCTTCGGGGAGGTCTCTCCAGAGGCCGCTCTGCCCGCAGCGGGTGGTCTGGCTCCTGGCTGACTCCCTCCCAGACACTGCTCCTCCAGGGTGACTCACGCTGCTCATGGCTCCTTCCCTTGCCTTGGCATCACGAGGAATTTAGTAGGATCCCTTATTCCCTAATCTTCTTCCTCAATCTGTGGTGCTTTGGTTTAACCCCTGACGCCCCGGAGGTCGCGGGCTCCCTCAGGCCTGTTGGCCAAGCCAACCATGGCCAACCCAGCCACTGTGCTTCTCGTCCCCGTGCAGCAGCATCCTTCCTCCCGGGCACCGGGATGCCCACCGGGCACCGGGGCAGGCTCTGCCCTCCACGGCTGCCAGTGCCAGCCGGCCTGGAGCTGTGGCCTCAGCTGCCTGGGGGATGTCAGGGGTGGCTGGAAGCACTCCCTGCCCACTGCAGGGTGGCTGGAGGGGACTCATCCTCTGGCTCGTGGGGAGGCGAGAGGCACCCCCAGATCGTGGGGAGCACCCTGGGGCTGGGGGAGAGGGAGCCCCTACAGCGTGCACAGAACGTGGGGCTGAGCTGTGAGCTGACAGCAGAGGAGGGGTGACAACAGAGGAGAGCT